GGTGACTATCATACAAGAAGTCATTTGTACATATTCTGTACCTCACTCTCATAGACATTATTAAAAGTATGTACTTTCACACAAATATGCATGCAAACATTTCAACTTGCATCTCTGCCTGTGACTGATTAGATATCCTTTTAAAATACCCCAGCTTAGTCCAAGAGGAGTTTGATATTTCTAGTAGTGTTTCCTTCCAACTGGAGTCTCAAACTGTTTTTCTAAAAAAACAATTTTATACTTTGCTAACTGTGGCATCAATGATGCTGCATGTCAAAAGTTTCTACTGGGTTCTGCAAAAATATATAGAAGTAAATTTGCTACCTAAAGTATTACTAATGTCACTCTTACTAGTACCTGAAACACAAAAAAAACTCTAGAAGTATTCAGTTTAAAAATAAGAAAAAAAATGTATTGTTTTTGCCTGATCTAAGTCATGCAACTCAGCAAAGAAGGAAACTAGATATAGGTAAGAAATAGTAAGTGACAGGATCTTCACAGCCATCCTGATTCTGACAAAACTCCAGGTAACAGAGGGACAAGACTTCTGTTTTGAGATGCTCTTAAAGGAGGTTTATATCAATCATAGAAATGTAAGGTTGAAAGAACCTCAGGAGGTTGTCTAGTCCATCCTCCCACACTAAGATGGAACTAAGTATACCTAGACCATTCCGGTCGTGTTTGTCTAACCAGTTCTTAAAACCTCCAACAACAGGGGCTTCACAACCTCTTTTGGTAACCCATTCCAGGTCTTAACTATCTTTATAGTTAGCATGTTTTTCCTAATATCTAACCTGAATCTTTCTTAGTGCAAACTTGTCCTACCCTCGGTAGACATGGAGAACAATTAATCGCTGTTCTCTTTCTGACAACCTTTTACATATTTGAAGACTTATGTCCCCCATTAGCCTTCTTTTTCTAAACATGTCCAGTTCTTTCAACCTTTTATCATAGGTCATGTTTTCTAAACCTCTAATTTTTGTTGCTCTCCTCTGGACTCTCACCAGTTTGTTCACATCTTTTTAAAGTGTGGGGGCCAAAACTTGACACAAAGTCATCCACAAATTTCATTAACATACTCTCCATTCCACTATCCAAGTCATTAATGAAAATATTGAATAGTACTGGACCAAGGAGAGATCCCTGTGGGACCTCATTTGATACCTCGTCCCAGTTTGACAACCACCATTGATAACTACTCTTTCAGTACAGTCTTTCAACCAGTTGTGCACTTACCTTACAGCAATTTCATGTAGACTATATTTTCCTAGTTTGCCTATGATAATGTCATGTGGGACTGTGTCAAGTGAACAAGAGAAACCAAAAATCAGCTCTTAAGTAAAACTAGGGAAGTGGAGGTGATACACAAGTCAGGGAGAAGAGGTAGAAGAGCAAAGGAGAGGATAGACGAGGGTAGGGAAACAAAGCAGTAGTCCGAAGACCAGGACTGGTAGTAACACCCAGAAGACGAAATCAGATTACCTATAAAATCTTGATGGCAGGAATGGTCTCTTAGTATATGTTTGTACAGCACCTAGCACAGGGAAGCCCCAACCCTGATTGGAGCCTTTGGGTATTACTGTAATACAAATAATAAATTGTAACGATAAGAGGACATTGTGAATGGGAAGATGCCAGAGGGAGGTAGGAGACAATACTTGGAGAGGGCAGCTGATGAGGAAACTGACAATAGCATCTAGCATAAGTAGAAGGGAAAAGTGCCCAAAGGGTGCCTGGGATAAGAAAAAAGAATTTCCCTCAGTTTGGTAAGCAGAATGAAGGAGAAGCCCTCCAATCTGCAAGTATACATTTAGTGTAAATTTCAGCTTGAATTTTCAATCCAATATAGGTATGCACAATGGAGGATGAGAGGAATACTTCCTACGGAGTTCAAAAGTCAGAAGTCAATGCATTTTTTTTAACTCATGATTTCTTGATCTGTTTTAGATTTTTAAACTTGCAAGGTTGGCAATACTTGCTCCTCTGACTTTTTCACCTCCCTGCACGATTAATAAATAGATTTTATTCCCTCCTTGTTTCTTCAATCTATGCTTTGTAATGTTATTTAATGCACTTAATGCAAAGCAATAAGTGAGGCAATAAGACAGACATAATTCTATAAATTGAAAAGATACGGAAACAAATTATTAAACAGTAAATTTGTAAGCACCTCGAGGTTAATATGGTATTACGGAAGAGTCAACATAGATTCGTCAAGAACAAATCATGCCAACCCAACCTAATTTCCTTCTTTAGAGGATTACTGGATAGGAGGGAAGCAGTCGACATGATATGCCTTGATTTTAATAAGGCTTTTTAGTCTCACATGACATTCTCATAAGCAAACTACAGAAATGTGGTCTTGACGCAATTACTATGAAGTGGGTGCATAACTGGCTAAAAAATCATAGCAAAAAAGTAGTTTAAATGGCTTGCTGTCAAAACGAGAGGATCTAGTAAGGTTTCACAGGGATCTGTCCAGGGTCCGGTACTATTAAATATTTTCATTAATTACTTGGAAAATGGGAGGGAAAGTGTTCTTATAAAATTTGCAAATTACACCAAGCTGGGAGGGATTGCAATCAGTTTGGAGGACAAGATCAGAATTCAAAATGACCTGGATAATTTAGAGAACTGGTCTGAAAACAACAAGATGAAATTCAATAAAGACAAGTGCAAAGTATTACTCTTATGAAGGGAAAATCAAATACAAATACAAAATGGGAAATAACTAGTTAGGAACTAGTACTGCAGAAAAGGATCTGGGGATTATAGTAATCACCCATATGAAATAACTCCTTCTTATAATGACTGTCATAGTTTATGCTGTAGCAGATTACAGTATCATTTGGAGATGAGGGCTAACATATACCCATAATGATCATTTGATCCAAAGGCTTGCAAAAGCAATGTGACTGTCAGTCTCTTAATTTTCAGAGAAGCCAAGATACCATCCAATATATACCATGGAAAAGGTGGGATTATTACATACCACATATACTAAGGTTATTTTCTAATAAGATTAGAAGAGGGAAAAGTAACTCACCACTACTGTGACAGTCCTTTCTCCAGTTCTGGTGGAAAATGGTGTTGTGAACGGGTCCCAAATCCTGCTTTTTCAAAGACCTCTAAGAAGAGATGGCAATTCTCTAACTGGAAGGCTGATTCTGGAGGAAGGAGGAATCTTTTGGAGGAAGAGGGAAATAACCTAAAGTGAGAAAAGCAAAGCCTGTGAAGAAATACGGAGCTAATACCTCAGTCCTTCCAGTTTCCCCAACAAGAAGCAAGGAAGCCAGAAGAAAACTATGGGGTTGGAGAAATGGATAATAGCCCACTTTCTCCTCCACATCAAAAGGAAGTACTTTGATACGTCTGTACAATACAAGACTTGCTAAGGCTATGGCTACACTACGAGGCTTTTAGAGACACGGCCGTGCCGCTACAGCCGTGCCGCTAAAAGGCACACAGTGTAGCTGCTATTTGTCGACAGGAGAGAGCTCGCCTGACAACAAAAAACTTCAACACACACACACCCAGGAGCAGCAGTGGCTGTGTTCACAGCTGTTCACCAGCACTTTTTGTCGGTAAAACTTTTGTCATTTGGGGGAGGGGAGGGAGAGAAGGTGTTTTTAACATTCCTGAAAGACAAAAGTTTTGTGGATGAAGTGCCAGTGTAGACAAAGACTAAGAATAATCCTGAACGGTCTTCTCTGCACTTAGAACAGCAAATGGCATACTGTATCAGAGTGGTCTCATATCTTGTCTCTGACCCTGAACAGTACCAACTACTTCAGAGGAAGGTGCAAAAAACCATGTAATGGAAAATTATGGAATAACCTGCACAAAGGGGAAGTTTCTTTCACTTTTCTCCTTGCTTCTCCCCATCAACCTATGTTACAAACAATTCTTATTTTTTCTTCCACAACATAGAGAACAAATCTGATCCTCTCTGTTTTAAGAACCGAAACTTTCCTCCACGCCCTGATTAGCCCCCATTTTGATTGTTGTCACCTTTCCTCTGCCCTATCCAGCACTCACATCTCCTCTCCATACAAAACACAGCAACTGAAGGCACGTTCTTGGTCTGACATGACCATCTCACGCATGCCCTTGGAATCCTTGCACTGGCTCCCCACTAATCACCACATCCATTTTTGTAAAGGTTGTGCTCCCTTTAAAGGCCCCACAATAAACACATCCAAGTCTCGGACCTCATCTCCTCTAGCATCCTCCTCTGTTCGGCTAATTATCCCTGCCGAGGTGCAAGTCTGATCCTTTATCCTACCTGCTTCCACGGGGGATAAACTCGCTGTACTGCTGGGCAGGAGGGGGAGGTAACTAACGGGCGATCCCGGGAAAGTCTCGGGACTTTTCACACGATGCACATTGGGGTCCCTGGTCCAAGTGTCCCGAGGCCGCCTCTCCCGCACGGCGCGGTGCTGGGGCCCTGCCGGCCCGGCTGCACGGGCGGCGGCTGGGGGGTTCGCTCACACTCGGGGCCGCTCCCCCGCTCTGGGCGCTGGCACAGGTGAGTCCCGCTGCCCCCGCCACACACAGTCCCCAGCCCGGCCAGACTCCGACCCTGCCCCAGACTCTGCCAGCCCCCGAGGCCCGACCAGCCACCCCTCAGCGCCCTGGGCCCGTGCTCACCGTTGGGTCAGAGCCGCTGCACGTGACGCGACCCCCACCTCTTCCGAAGCTCGCGCCACTAGCCGGGACCATTCGGCTCCAGCTAGAGCAGACACGCGCCCCACCCCCCGGCGCGTATTACTTACGTCATCCAAACGCGACAATACTATCCCG